AAAAAGCTCTTGCAGATTTGCATCAAATGCGAACTGTGCATGTAAGTATCTGTACTTACAGAAATTCGTACATGCTCACGTACATACGTATTCTTTATACATAGAGACAGGGGTTCATGTGTTTGCTATGTTCATTCTTCAATGGAGTTGCTGATAACAAATGTGTTCAAAACATATATGATCTTAGTACTCATCTTTCTACCGTATTGTAGAACTAAAACCATATTTAAAACTTTTGCAGATTTGGAATTTTAGACATAGATGCAATGCTACAAATTAACTTTAGTTTAGCGTTAACAACATGAACATGAAGTTTTTTGTGTTATCACTTTAGACCTTTAGATTTCAGAATATAGAGGTGTAGTAGTGGTTGTACGGTAACCCCTTCATGTGAACTGATAGCTTTGACAGAGTCAATTAAAAAATTGCCCTCACAAAAAAATTTGTGTACCAACAAGCATACTGTTACTAGTCTTTATAAGAAGTTAGCAAAGGCATCATTTTATAAATCCCTATGCTAATCCACATGCCCTAGTTTTAGATCTCTTATCACTCGTTTGGCTCTCTACTCGTGCGTTTCTTTTTGTTTATTTATTTTTAAGAGCTCCCAATTAGCCTATCAATAGAGAATAGGCTGTGGCTTACAAGCCTCATCTGACTAGGATTCCTAAACCCTTTTTCTTGTTCTTTATCTTGATTTGGGGAAGTTTTGGGTGGATTATTTTATGGACTTCTTGTCCAAGAAACTTTTACTTCTTGTGTTTCTTCAGTTACCAAAAAAAAAGAAAATTGTTTGTGTTATTGAAATAAAAATAGTGTGATTGCTACAAGATGTTTGGTAGGATTGTCTGTTTCATCTTACTTTCCTAGCTATCATGGAATTGTATGAAGTGCTCTGTATTTACTTTATTGATATACTGGTTATTTTTTTATCAGATGGAGAAGCTTAGTGACATACAGCGCGAACCTGAGTCTCAGCTCAAGTTCATAACTGATGCCTGGCAGCAGGTGAACTACTATCATATTTATGAGATATATAAAGATTTATTTTCTTTGAAAGATATGGAAGGACTTATTCTAGTGAACATCAAATTATTGTTTTGCTATGACATGCTGACAAATTATGTCTTGCCTGTCTTCCGTGTTCGTAGATTGTTGAGTGTAGGAGAGTGCTGAAATGGACTTATGCTTATGGGTATTACCTGCCTGAGCAGGAGCATGCAAAGAGGCAATTTTTTGAGTACTTGCAAGGTATAAACTGTGTGTGTATATTAGTGGCAACTAGTTAGGAATTGTCTTTTGTGTTTTCTGAAATATGCAATTCTGCTTTTTTATTCAGGTGAGGCAGAATCTGGTTTGGAAAGGCTTCATCAGTGTGCAGAGAAGGAGCTACAGCAATTCCTTAGTGCAGATGGCCCATCGAAAGAATTTATTGATTTCCACACAAAGCTAGCTGGACTGACCGGGTAGACACTTTATAAATATAGAGCAACTCTCTGATACGGTTAACCACACGTGTGGTTAACCATTATATATATATATATATATATATATATACAGACACACATACATATACACATATATGTACCAACATATGCTATGAACTTTTGCAGTGTGGCTCTGTTTCTGTATTGCACTGCTTGTTGACTCTCACAGACACTGCCAGACCCCAGGCAGTACGAAGGCCTCATAGTCCACACTTGATATTTCCTGTGATGTTTGTGCATATATATGTGTGTGTTTCCTTGATCACTTCCAAGTTTGCTTTTACCAATGAATGCAAAATGATAAGTAAAGAAAATGCAGTGAAGGAAAATAGAGTGAATGGTTCGTTAGTATAGGAACTGCGAATAAAACAAGTCTCCATTTGGGGGATGAGAAAAGGACAGGAGTAAGCGTGGAAGAACGTATTTTACTGACTTGACCTTAAAAGTGCACATTCTTTTTGGCTGTAAGCCTCTGATGACAAAATAGTAAATCAGGTTATTTATCAAGTATTAATTTGTGGGATTTTTAGTTTTCTAGAATAGATCTGTAATTGTGTTGCATCATTGACATTCTAGCAATGTGTGATTAAGTTATACTAGGAATGTTTCACAGGCACACTCATCCATATACCCTTTTCTTGTGATGTGCAATTACCAGTCTGGGCCTTCGAGTCAGTTGAGTTCAATGCATTGCCTTATTGAATCTTCTCATCCATTTGCTCTACTGTGACAGGGTGACTAAAAATTACTTTGAGAACCTGGTAAGCGCATTAGAGAACGGCCTATCAGATGTGGACTCTCAAGCAGCTTGCAGTGGGTCAAGCTCAAAAAATGGAGGAAGCAGCAAAGCGAAAGGTGGAAAGGGAAAGGGAACTAGTCGAGCTGGTGGCTCCAGCAAAAATGTAGACAGCGCAGGTATGTGGACCTGTGAGTACTGTACGTATGCAAATTCGAAGCATTCCACCACATGTCACATGTGCCACCACCAGCGACGGTGAATATTCTTTGCTTCCTGATCTCTGCCCTTGTAGTTAAAATTAACTCCAGGCAAGTTGAGAACAAGAGTATAATGGAAGTGGCTCTCTCGGTATGAAAATGATAAGGTGTAAAATCAAAGGAAAAAAAATGAAGACAGATTTGTTAGGGGAAAAAGTAGGTTTGCCTCTTGGTATTCTTGTGTTTTGGTGGAAACATGTGATTATTATTCACTGTATATAATATCGATGTCCTTACGAATTCGGGGTTCTATGACCTGCTTTTGTTACCTATTGTTTGATTATCATATATTATAGTTGTCTGTTGTGAATGCAAATATGCTCGTTTGTCATACTGTAGTATCGAATTTAATAATGTTTTTGTTTGGATCTATTCTTGAACTAACCTTGCGGCACGCTAGGTGAAGGCAGTCTATTTGAAGGTAGGGTTGGACAATTTGAACTGCAAAACCAGAAAACCGAGCCGAACCTTATTGTCCAGTCCGGTTGGGTGCAGTTTTCTCAGTTTTATTTTTTAGTTTTGGCAAGAAAACCTAACGAAACTGGTGAAAGTAATTTTTGAAATGGTCCTCTAAAACGACCTACCCAGCTCTCTGCATTCCCTTTGAAACCTTAATCCTCCTCTCTATCCCAATTCAGCAAAATTGTTGAAAACCAGAAGATTTAATTGCTTGACCTTTAGATGGTAACATGATACAACTGAATCATGAAAAAGGTAATCCAAGTCAAGAAAGTAAGGTTGAGTAATTGACTCATAATTCGCCAAAGTCGTGTCATCATCATCGCCCTATCTGGCTTCAACGTCTTAACATTATTTTCATGCTCAAACTCATCATCATAACTGCCCTCAAAATTGTTCTCATTTAACAGCTGCATATCGCCATGACTGCCACAAGAGGAACATAAATAAAATCCAGCCTTAGTGCTACAACAATCGAACTCTAATTACTCAAAATTGTGGCCTAGTCACTGTGAAACTTCCCCAATGTTCAAACCCTTCTTATCAGCATGACTACCCTCGCCTTTTCCTGATTCAAAAGTCACTTTGATATTTCCCCGTCCCGACTGGGGATTTATAAAATTCGGGTATTCTCGTACCCACCTTTGATTTTCCCCAAAAATCTCCCCCTATTAGGGTGGGGACACACTCGACAGTGATCTATGCCATCTTGTAAATGGAACTACCAGTAGGGAGAGAGGGTCAAATGAACCTCTCTCCCACCTTTGGCTCATGGTGGGGGAGAGGGTCAAATGACTCCATAACTTGCAAAAACACGACCCAAAGAAGGGAATATAGTAGTAGTCTTACTAGGATGTTGACAAAGATTTGTTCGGGGATGTAAATGGAATTCTTCCAGCTTGTGGATCCTGAGGAAGATCGTAGAAGAACTAAGTTCGAAAACAGAATGGAGAAAATCTAGACCCAGTGCTGCGATCACCTGGAGCTTATGTTACTGAAATTCTTCTCCTGGTAATTCATACATCGAATAAGGCTTTTAGTTTCAGTTAATAACAAAGAACTTGCATAGCTCAATATTGAACTATAGATGGTCTTTTGTTTAATTCCTCCAACATTGTTGCATCAAAATAATTTTATTTTCGCCCAAAAAAAAAAATGAATCGAATGACTCAATTTTAGTTGTCGTAATGGGAAGGGCGCAGGAAGAGGAATGAACTTTATGGCAAGAAGAAATTCATGTTCTTCAAATGTTAAAATGAAGAACAACTAATAAACAAAGCTTGCAATTTAAAATTCCAGTTTCAAAATCTCATACAAAACACGCGCGACTACCCAAAGTCGAATTTGCTCATATCTCAAGTTATTAGGAACTTAATAAGGACTGTAACTAATTGGTGTGAATGTATATTTGATGTCATCCTGCTGAAGCACTCTCTAGGGTTTTGTCTTAGTTAGTGACAGGCATTGCATTGCTCATAAAAGACAATTGGGCGAGGACTGTGAACCAAGAAAATACAGTGCTAGGTTCGACAATATTCAAAATGCTAGTTTCGACAACAAAGTGTAAGAACGTTATTGAGTTTGCATCCATTTAAGGCACCAAATCTGTCGAGAATAAAAGAGAAAAGTTTTTCACTCGATTAGCCAGTTGCTTCTAAGTGAGGAAAATGAGTTTTTATCACAAATAGCCAAACTTTATCTTATACTTTCATAAATGTTAGTTTTTATAAAATAAAGGGATTTTTGTAGAAATGTCACATGAACTTATACCTCAATTTCAATGTCATCTTAAAGAAAAATTTAAGAGCAATGTCATCTTAATTTTTCAAAATCCATGATTTGTCATTTGACTATAACACCATCCAATTTGCATATATTTTAAAGGGTATTTTAGTCTTTCAATTTTCAAGGAAAAATAAAGAGAGAAAAAAGAGACCTCTCTCTCTCGCTCACCCCCACCCCACTTGCCACCAAAACACATCGCACAAGACCCCTCCCCTCCCCCCTCATCTCTCTCTCTCTCTCTCTCTCTCTCTCTAAGCATGTATAAATTTTTTTATGAGATTCATTAAGCATGTCTAGAATTTTCATATACCTGATTTAAATTATTTAAACTTCCTTCTCAAAATCCAACCTCTTTCTTGTTTAAAAAATATGTAATTTTTTTATAATAATTTTTTCATTTTTAAAATACCCTTGAAATTTCACACAAGGAAAGGGGTCGAGTGCACAAGGAAAAGGAGGTCACGGTCTCCTCACAAGGGGCCGATGGTGATGTGGTTGGCCACAGGGACGGTAGGGTGCATCTGAACCAAGGGGTCTATAAGGTTGCGTTGTCGGATATGGGTCATTTGCGGCTGGATGGGGATCTCTCACAGATCTTTCCTACTGCTCCAAGGTGTTCGGACAAGGGCAAAACAGTTTTGGGGGAAGATGTCACTGCGGCTTCTGCTATCTTGGGGCTGCCAACCTCATTCTGCAAAGGTAGTATACAACGTGGCTTTCAGCTGGGCCGTGCCAGGCCTCGGGGGAGTCCTGTGATGACTGATAATACATCTGGTGTTGAGCGCACACCCGTGATGGGTATCGGGGGTCGGGCCCATCACGAGCAATGACAATATTATGCTGGAATGTTCGGGGTTTGGGCAACCCACGAACATTCCGAGCTCTGAGATTCCTTCTCAGAGATAAAAAGCCTCGTATCATCTTTTTGTCGGAGACCAAAAAGACGGTGTGCTAGATGGAGTGTGTGCAACGGCAGTTGGGTATGATAGGGTGCTTCAGTGTTGGGAGAGAAGGAAGGGCGGGGGGTTTAGCTTTGTTATGGCAACATGGAGTGGAAGTATCTATTCTTTCTTTTTCTCCAGGGCATATTGACGCTATTTTAAAGGGTGTGGATATGGAGACTTTCCGTTTTACTGGGTTTTATGGTAATCTACATGAGGTTACGGCGGCACTTTTGGGATTTGCTACGACGAATTGCAGGGACTGTTCAAGGGCCATGGCTTGTAGATGGGGATTTCAATGAAATACTTGAGGCTCATGAGTACTTTGACCGCCATTTCCGACCCATGTCACAAATGAGGGCCTTTCGAGAAGCTTTGGAGGAGTGTGGTTTGACAACTATTCGGTTTAAGGGGTATAAGTTTACATGGTCTAACCGATGGCAAGGGGATGGGAATGTAAAGCTCCGGCTAGATAGAATGGTGGCTAATGGTGACTTTGTTAGGACCTTTCCTGAGGTCACAACGCATCATCTGAATTCTATGGTGTCCAACCATCTTCCTTTGTTGTCATATTTGAGACCAAGTACTTGGGCGCGGAAGCATAAGCGGTTCATATTCGAGGAAATGTGGACTACTGTTGAGGGTTGCCAAGACGTCATTACGCATGCTTGGGAGTCTGAGATTGGAACTGTTGTAGAGAAATTGAAGGCATGTCAAGGGTCTCTGCGGACGTGGAATAATGACCATGTAAGCCGAATACCCACAAAGCTCCGAAGTCTGCAGCAGAAGTTAGATGACACCTAAAGGAGAAGTTTTTCTCCAGTAGTTGAGTTTCAACAGAGAGATATATGTAGGGAAATGGATGTGTTACTGGAAAGAGAAGAAATGTTGTGGAGGCAGAGATCGCGGGTCTCATGGATGAAATATGGGGACAAAAATACAAGATTTTTCAATGAACATGCAAAACTGCGGGGACGATGGAATCTAATTACGACTATTATAGATGATCAGGGGATTTGGCGTACATCTACTGAAAGTATCGGCAGTGGTTTTTGTGATTATTTTCAAGGCTTGTTTGCTTCCAATGGACTTCATGAGGCAGGGGCAGTCACTTAGATGGTCAAGCCGATACTCACTCCATCTCAAAATTTGCGCCTCAATCAAGTTTTCTTAAGGGAGGAGATCGAAACTTCTTTGGGTCAAATGTTTCCTACAAAATCTCCAGGAGTGGATGGTATGTCGGCACTGTTTTATCAGAAGTATTGGGGGGTGGTAAGCAATGATGTGGTAGGGTACTGCCTTAATGTCTTAAATGGGGGTGCCAGTGTGAAAGAAATTAATCATACGCTTTTAACGCTCATTCCTAAGGTAGACAATCCGGTTAAAGTTACGGAGTTCCGACCGATTCGTTTGTGTACGGTGATCTATAAGATGATTTTTAAGACTATAGTTAACAGGTTGAAGCCTATTATGCCGCTTATTATCTCCGAGTTTCAGAGCGCGTTTGTCCTTACACGGCTGATTACGGACAACATTATTGCTGCTTTTGAAAGTATCCATGCTATTAAACGGCGTGGTGGGAGTAAGCTGAAGCAAATGGTATTAAAGCTGGATATGTCCAAAGCTTATGACAGAGTGGAATGGACCTTTATTGAGGCTATGCTTAAGCGTTTGGGCTTTACTGACAGGTGGGTGGAGCTAATCATGGATTGTATATCCACTGTTACATACTCTGTTCAAGTTCGGGGGGTGGCTTCGGGAATGATTGTGCCATCAAGGGGGCTGTGTCAGGGAGATCCTCTCTCTCCTTATCTGTTTTTAATTTGTGCGGAGGGACTGTTTGCTTTGCTTTCTAACGCTCTCAAAATCAAGCGTATTAGTGGCATTTCAGTGGCTCAGGGAGCACCTACTATTTCTCATTTATTTTTTGCAGATCATAGTCTCTTTTTTTGTAATGCCCATCTAGCTGATTGTGCTTATTTGCTTCAGATTCTCAGCATGTATGAGAGAGCATCTGGTCAGAAAATTAATTTTGATAAGTCTGCAGTATGTTTTAGCCCTAACACTGATCCGGTGATGAAGCAACTGATTGCTGACATGCTTGGAGTGCCGATTGTTACATGTCATGAACGCTACCTTGGGCTGCATACCTTAGCTCAACGCAACAAATCCCGGATGTTTAATCATGTGCGAGAACAAGTGTGGCGCAAGCTTAATACTTGGGATACGAAGTTGCTGTCAACGGCAGGCAAGGAAGTCTTAATTAAGGCGGTTGGTCAGGCACTACCTACTTATACAATGGGAGTATTTAAGTTGCCAAAATCTTTGTGTCAGGAATTATCTGCTATGATTGCAAGGTACTGGTGGGGCAAGAGTGGCAGGAAAGGAATTCATTGGTTGGGGTGGAGAAAATTGTGTAAACCAAAATGTCTGGGAGGCCTTGGTTTCAGACACTTTGAAGCTTTTAATAAAGCCATGGTAGCAAAACAGGCTTGGCGTATTTTAGAGAACCCCACCTCTCTGGTGGCTAAGATACTTAAAGCCCGATATTTTCCAGAGGATGATTTTATGCGAGTTAGTTTGGGGAGCTCGCTGTCAATGATATGGAAATCTATTCTGTGGGGACGTGAGGTTATTGAGGATGGCTTGCTTTGGAGGGTGGGCAATGGAGTTTCTATCCGTGTTCTCCATGATAGGTGGATTCCAAAACCATTTACGTTTAAACCGTTGATGACTAGAGGGCTGGCGCAGACTTCTATGGTCTCTGACTTTCTAATGGCTTCTGGCTCTTGGAATTTACCAGTGTTAGAGCAACATTTTAGCTTGGAAGATTGAGATATCATTTATGGGATCACTTTGGGATCGGTTTCACAGCTGAGTGATAGCAAATATTGGTTTTTCTCAAAGAATGGGAAATATTCCGTTAAAACTGGGTATTGTGTGGCGGTAAGGCAGTGCGATGAGGATTTTGGAGTGGGGGGATTGGATCAGAGTGCTCAAGAAGGCTTCTGGATGGGAATTTGGAAGCTGGCTGTCCCCAACAAAATTAAGATGCTGCTTTGGCGGGCATGTACTGAAATTCTACCAATTGCAATCAATTTATTTAAGAGAAGGGTGCTTCCATCTCATGTGTGCTCAAGGTGTGGGAATTATCCTGAAGCCACGCTTTGTGGTCCTGTAAAATGAGTCAAAAACTTTGGAAGTGTACCAATTTTATCCGACAAATTAATCTGGCGGGAGGCACTTTCGCTGATGCTTTTGAGGTTGTGGCTTCAATGATGTCGAAAGCTGACTTAGAGCGCTTTGCTTGTTGTGCGTGGAAACTACGTAATGATTCTTTGCATGGGAAACAGATTACACGGGTGGATAATATGGTGGAAAACACGATGGAAATGCTGGCAGTGTTTAAATCTTGTGAGGAGCGGTCCAAGCTCCCCCCCTTCTCTCCACAGGTCCATTGGTTGAAACCACGGGTCAATACTCTTCTCCTTAACTATGATGGGGCTATGGGACGTGAGCAAGGTAGTCGAGGTCTGGGGGGATGTTGTCGTGATCACGACAGAAACTTTATTTGTGGTTTCGCATCTTTTGGTCCATCGGGTTTGGATGTTTTGGGCACTAAGTTGGTGGCTGTTCGGGAAGGTTTATTGATGATGGGATACATGGGTTTTACTCGGTTTACCATTGGTCTTGATTCTCAAGAAGCTGTTTCTATTCTTAAAGATGGGTTGGATTGGTGGAGTAATATTGGTAATGTGGTGGAGGATGTTCGTCGGTTAATGGTTGATCGAGAGGTGGCTGGAGTGTTCTACCAACACTGGAAAGGTAATGGGGTGGCACATAGTCTAGCCCAGCATGGGTTGAGAGTGAGTTCTTGACTTTTTTGGAAAGACCGTGCTCCTCCATGGTTAAGCATTCTTTTAGATAAGGATATAGCTATGGTGTAGTTCATTGTTTGTTTTTTGAGATGTGGTGGTACTCTTTTTCCTTGACCGGATTTTCCCCCATTAGGGGTTTTGGATGGCAAGGTTTTAATGAGGCCACACTAACGCTCTCAGTTCGTTTGTAAACTTTTATTGGTTGGTTGGTGCTACGGTTGAATGAATCTATAAAAAAAAAAAAAAAAAAAAGTGGTTGACATATAGGGATACAATTATTCTAAAGTGATTCCAGGAGAAAAGAAGCTTAATGAGGAAACTAAAGTATGGCAAGAGGTAAGGCTTTTCTTCTCATTCCTCTCTTTCTAGAAGGGATCTCAAATTGTCATCCATTTCTACAAGAAATTTTTCTATATTTATAGGGGAAACCAAATGAACTAATTTACAAGCTGGGCACCTAGGCTCGGAGTTGAGCTGTTTGTGTCACATCATATCTATCAGATGATGGGTGGTTGGGGTTCGTCCATGTCCTCTGCTCATGATGACCCCTTCATACTTCTACTAGGGGGCCGACATGGGCAGAGTAGCCTGTTGCGCACTGCGGCAGTCCCGTCTGGTGAGGTGGTGATACGAGTGGTTCACACTTGGCTTTTGAAGGGACATGGGCACTCTTTATGAGATACGGCGAGTCAGCGGTCAGCGGGGGTCTTGTCATCGACGTGGCTGATTTGCATCCTCTTGAATTTCCTAAGGCAGCTCGGAGTTTGAGGCTGAGGGCAATTTGCTCGTTTCTTCCGATATAGTGCACGAGGCCTACGTGTCGTGCTTTTATTGGGCATATGAGCTCGGTGTCTGGAGGTGGCTGGAGTGTTCTACCAACACTGGAAAGGTAATGGGGTGGCACATAGTCTAGCCCAGCATGGGTTGAGAGTGAGTTCTTGACTTTTTTGGAAAGACCGTGCTCCTCCATGGTTAAGCATTCTTTTAGATAAGGATATAGCTATGGTGTAGTTCATTGTTTGTTTTTTGAGATGTGGTGGTACTCTTTTTCCTTGACCGGATTTTCCCCCATTAGGGGTTTTGGATGGCAAGGTTTTAATGAGGCCACACTAACGCTCTCAGTTCGTTTGTAAACTTTTATTGTTGGTTGGTGCTACGGTTGAATGAATTCTATTTTATAAAAAAAAAAAAAAAAAAAAAAAAAAAAAAAAAAAGTTGACATATAGGGATACAATTATTCTAAAGTGATTCCAGGAGAAAAGAAGCTTAATGAGGAAACTAAAGTATGGCAAGAGGTAAGGCTTTTCTTCTCATTCCTCTCTTTCTAGAAGGGATCTCAAATTGTCATCCATTTCTACAAGAAATTTTTCTATATTTATAGGGGAAACCAAATGAACTAATTTACAAGCTGGGCACCTAGGCTCGGAGTTGAGCTGTTTGTGTCACATCATATCTATCAGATGATGGGTGGTTGGGGTTCGTCCATGTCCTCTGCTCATGATGACCCCTTCATACTTCTACTAGGGGGCCGGCATGGGCAGAGTAGCCTGTTGCGCACTGCGGCAGTCCCGTCTGGTGAGGTGGTGATACGAGTGGTTCACACTTGGCTTTTGAAGGGACATGGGCACTCTTTATGAGATACGGCGGGTCAGCGGTCAGAGGGGGTCTTGTCATCGACGTGGCTGATTTGCATCCTCTTGAATTTCCTAAGGCAGCTCGGAGTTTGAGGCTGAGGGCAATTTGCTCGTTTCTTCCGATATAGTGCACGAGGCCTACGTGTCGTGCTTTTATTGGGCATATGAGCTCGGTGTGTGCCGAGCATCAACACCATATAATTCTTTGTCATAAAAATTTCAATGGAACGTTAAATTTTAACAAGCATGAGTTTGTCGAAGAGCCCAAAATTTGGGATAGCTTAACAAATTAAACATGACTTTCTCAAAACTTTATTAAAGAACTACAATCAAACTATGCTTCTTTTTTTAAACATACAATCCTAAAATGCTCCAGAATCCCTATAACAATACCAGCAATGATTAAAACAAAAGGTACAATCCCATATTCCTGTTTGAACCACAACCCAGAAGATTTAAAAGGCTTTTGAGTTTTAGGTGGTTTTTAGGGTTTTGGGCATTTGAGTCTATCAAAGTGAGATTTCTGTTATATTTGAAAGTTTTTATAGAAAGAAACATTTATGAAAGTATAAGGTAAATTTTGACTATTTATGATAAAAACTTGAAGAAAAGATCAAATAAAAGACTATCCTATTTTGTGGATTCATGGAAGTGATAAAGATATGCTTTAGGATTTTTCTTTATGGGTAAGAAACCTCGAGGCTCTCACCTACAAAATATAAAGCTTAGGAGTGTATCTTAGAGCATCTCCAACAGACTCTCTATTCTCTCATCCCTAGCTACTTTGGCTAAAAGGAAGGAAAATCCTCCTCCAGCAGACTCCCTACTTGGCTCTCTATTTTGGCGAACCAACTTTTGGCTCTCTACATCTAGCAAAGAGGAGAGAGAATTTGACTAGGAGGAGAGAGAAAAAGGAAGAGAGATAGAGACATTTGGGAGGTTGGTGGGGTGGTGGGGTGGTTTCTACTTTTTTATTTAATATATTGGATTTGCAAGAGAAAGAGGGAGAAAGAGAGAGAAAATAATAATAAAAAATTTCAGATTAGCCAAAATAGAGAACATTGCTGGATGAAACACCTTTTAAGTGGTTTGCTATAATAGCTTTTTAGCTCTTTTAGCTAAAATTTGGAGACTCTCCTAAAGATGCTCCCTAGAGAGAGAGAGAGAGAGAGAGAGAGAGAGAGAGAGAGGAATCTTTGCTTTTGGTGTTTGCTTGTTATACAGTTTCGTCTCCACAAACTTTTCTTTCGCAGCTGCAAGCATACTGCATGCTTACTTTGCAGTATAATATTTATCCTACCGTCCTATTCTATAATTTTTTTCTTTTGTTGTTCTCTATGTGTTAGTTAGAGGCTGTCAAACTAATTCCTTTAAGTTCAAAAACTAATTCCTTATTTTCTTACTTTGCAGTATAAATGGTTGACAGCCCAAGTAGATAAGAATTTTCTATCTTTATTTATTTGTACATTTGGGAATCAATTTTGAGATGTAGATGAAAATTTCTGGTAATGCTCTGTTTTATGTTTGCTTCCTGAGAAAATTTGTAATGTTCATGTTTTTCGGTAATCAAACATTGTGCTATTGATTTCATCAAAGTGAAATGTGGCTATGTGCGTGTCTGCAGGTTCTGTCTATTATTTTTTGCATTTTTATGGTACGATAGTGTGTCCAGTCCATTACTCTTGTGCGGTAAAGTGAAGGACTATATGAATATCATGTTTGCCTTTCATTTTTACCATTCTTTTCACCATTTCTTTTAATTCTTCTTCATTGCTGCTAGCCCAAGTGGTCCTGCTCTGGGTTGTGAATATGTGTTAATTTCATTGGCGATCATGATAATTATAATGTTTCTTGCTTTTGGGTCAAAAGTTAATAGGAGGTGGCAATTTCTGATACTACCCCATTACACGACTCGAAACCCGCATGGAAAATTAGCAGGTCAACCCGCACGATTAAATTTTTGGATCAACCCGGGTCGTGCCAACCCCCTAACCCGTTTCTTTATTTCTTCTTCATTTTCTTCATTTTCTTCATTTTTCTAATTTTTTTTATTTATCTTTCTCAATCTCATACATACATAGAGGCAAAAAATCACTATTTTTATATTAAAAAAAGTCTATTAAATTATCAAAATTTAGGTTTTTTTTTGATGACCTTGTGAATTTGAGATGTGGATCTTTGTTTATTTATTTATTATTTGTCTTTAGTAATTTACACGTATCTTGTTCATCATAACCAATTCTCACATTATTGTGATAATGGAAAATTCTTTGAATAGTCATCTCTTTCTCTACTTCTATTTTTGTCTACATTTTTACCTCCCTAGTTACTATTTGCTATTGCTTTGCAGGTCAACCTGACACGACACTTTTATTAAATAGATCAAGTTTAGGTTGAGCAATCTTAACACGTTTACTAACTTAACATGACACGACTCATCCCATTGCCAGCCCTAGAATTTGCTCACATGCCCCTTAAAAGCTCTCAAGGCATTTGTTGTCCCCACATCTATGTCATGGCCGTCGGGCCGCCAAAGGACTCAACTCCCCATCTTCCCCGAACCCTGACCCATATGGTCTTGGGCTCGCCTCTTAGCCCCCTCTCGACGATAGGGAAGGTCGGCCGCTGCACTTTGATCCCTTTGAGTGAACGCTTGATAGTCAAACGCACCACTGGGACCTAGAGGCTTGTCATATGCCACTTTATCGGTCCAATCCACCATTTCAAATCTGCTCGGTTAGGAGGGGATGGGTTTCATACATGCCATCCTTTTCAGCCTGGGCCGAGCCTCATCCCCGACACGCAATTTGGTTAGAAAAAAAAAAAAAAAAAAAAAAAAAAAAAAAACGAAAACACCACACGCACGATTTCGATACATATCTCTTGCTTGAAGACATGGTCAACAATCTGACTTTCTTGAGCCTCTTGGGTGTTAGCAACCTCTCGGCGAACCTCAGCTCAGCGGGCAGGAAAAGTACAAGGTCCATTGCCTTATTCTCGTCCTCGCTCAGCTCTATATTTCTCTCCTACTCAACAGCAAAGAGTGATCAAGACCATGCTTAATTTACCTCTTCAACAGAAAGGAGCACATCATATGGTGAACGCTCGGTTCAGATGAATTCACTTACATGCTCTGCAACGTCCGATAAATGTTCTGATTCATCTGGATGAGGTGCAATACCCAGCAACGTCCAATAATTCACATCGTCGCGGGCAAGCTTCCATTCCCGCTCTTCAATCTCTCTCTCTCTCTCTCTCTCTCTCTCTCTCTCTCTCTCTCTCTCTATAAGTATAAATATATGTAGATCTCTCTTCTCTTACTCCCACTCTGTCTCTGTTCTTTAAAATCAACCCCTTTCTCTCATGAAACTTTTGTCGAACACATAGAAGATGATTGTGGAAAAGCAGAGCCAGCTACAGCATATTGTGGAACGCGAAGGAATTGAGCTTAGTCTCTTATCTACGAGCGTGCGCTTCTTCACGATATACGACCTGCGCTTCTTCACGATCTACGAGCATAAGCTCTTCAAATTCAATTTTTCCACAGAAACTCCAGAGATTCAATTTTCTTCTTTGGGTAATTTCCTCCATATTGAAATTAACCAGGAAATCGAATTTCTAATCTTCGTGCTGGAGTTTATAAATACCGTGTTATGCTGGCTGAAAAGCTTCTCAACAAATCTGACTATGGCATCGATACAGAGATACGCATTCTAGAAAAACCTCAAGGCAAGGGTTTTTTTTTATATATTTAAGCTTGCGGTTTCTTTGTTCAGTTGGGTGTAATGGTTGTTCATGTAGTCTTCAAACTGTCTAACTTAATGTTCATAGTTTGTAATCATTCTTCAGATACATTTTGGAGAGAGCAGCATGCAGAAATGTGAAATTATGCTGAATGATCTTATTGATTCTAAGAGGACTAACGGCAATATTAAAGCAACCATAACTCAGACATCTCAAGCAGGTACCTTCCAAACTTTACGTCTTCCCTACAGATGATTGGTTTTTGGGCTATTCGCTCCAGCATTACCAGAAGACTAATTATTTTATTTTATTCCACTAACGTGGGGTGGATGTCTTAGGTTCTGAGCTGGGCGATAACGGGGTTTCCATGGATGTTTTTGATGCAACAATCATCTCTTCAAATTTCTGGCCCCAAATCCAGGTAATGAATTGTTGCCAGTGGTAATGTCATTTATTTCGAAATTTCTGTTAAAGGGAAAAGACGGATCGAGGATTTACATTCTCATAATTTGAAATATCTCCTTGGCACACTTCTCTGAAATCAGTGATACCATGCATATGAACATGATTATGTTTAAATGTAATCGCTTGCACTTTAGTTGTTTCTTCTGCATTTAGGAGCGGCTTTAATAGCTTAATGCTCCTTGAGGCCCCCATTAGTTATGATTTCTTGCAAGCATTTTAATTTAATTTAGTTCTTTTAAAATTTCCCGCCTATCCTATTGATTCACTTCTCTGCATGAGTATCTAGGCAACTTATGTTTGACTCATTCTAAACCTTGTGCATAAACTGATGTCTTTTGTCCGTTATACTATATACATCTCATTAGCATTTGTTATTGTCATTAGAACTACATTTTCTATTTGTAACAAAATTTCAGTAAACGTTGATTAACCTTTAAACCAAATTTCAGGATGAGTCCCCTAATATACCTGGACCTATTGACCAACTACTATCTGATTATGCAAAGAGGTTTAATGAAATCAATACCCCTCGTAAACTACTATGGAAGAAAAGTCTTGGTACGGTCAAGGTAAGATGCTTACACTATGTCATTTCACGCCTTTCTATTAGGAGAGTTTTGACTTGCTTCGATTTTCCATATTTCCTGAATCACTGAATTGACATTAACAATACTTATGATGGTTGGTGCTGTTTTAGTTGGAGTTGCAATTTGAAGATAGAGCAGTGCAATTCGTGGTTGCTCCTGTGCATGCAGCAATTATAATGCAATTTCAAAATCAGACAAGGTAGCATCAGAAATATCTTAATGCATTTTATGTTGTTTACTATTTTCTTGCCATACTGATATCTTATACTTTCAGCTGACCTCTAACAATCTTGCAGCTGCAATTGGGATTCCAACAGACATACTTAATCGCAGGATAAATTTCTGGATAAGCAAGGTATGCTTGATAGACTAATACTTTCATGTGTCAGATTTACTTGTTGTCTTTGAACACAAACCCTAGCCCCCGGTTTTGAGTCATCTGTCTTGGTGACAGAGTAAAGAGTATTAGAAACTTTGGATTTCTCAGCAGCAGTGGTTACTTTTACTGATTGCAGATTTTTTTTTCTTAGTTACCTTTAATCATTTTGAATTTCGAGTTGAATGATATGATGCGTCATTTATTGTAAAGTCAAACGTTCCCCACGAGCTAAATGTTTTTCAAATGGGTTCTTGTTATTTATTGAAGTTTTAAGCTTTGGAAGTCGAGGAAAACTCATATGTTTGCCTCGTTTTTCCTATTGAAGGGAATTTCTTGCAGAATCATTTGGGGCAGACTCTGAAGACCACGTGTTTACACTAATGGAAGGTATGGTTGACAGTGGTAAAAATGGTGGTACGAATGGAAGCATCGAGGATCTTATAGTTGCTGATGAAGAGGGGGAGAGCTCTGTAGCCTCTGTGGAGGATCAACTGCACAAGGAAATGACTGTGTATGAGGTATGTGATGTGTGCAAGATTGACCACATCTTGGTATACGTTTAAATCCATCCCAATGGGTTGAGTTGTTTGGGAAGGATCTACCAATTCATTTTCATACTGGATCTTCTTTTGCTTTCAGTATATTTCCATCTCTAGGTACTACGGCCTTAAGTTCTAGTTTTCCATCTCTGGATCTTCATTTTCATACTGGATATTCTTTATAAAGACCAAAAGGGGGGAACAAAATTGCTGCTCCACATTTTACCAACTTGTCAATAGCTGAAATAATCAAGTGAAGTAGAAATTTAACTCCCTTCTTTTCCCACTAAGGGGAGGGGAAAGGAAACACATAATTGATAGCTTGCCAATTATAATAACCATGTTAACTTTGTCCAGTCTTGAGTATCAATCTCAAATATGTCAACAGATAAAAATGCATGGTGCCATTGTGTTCTCAGCTTTTCAAATGGTATTTGGTTTTTTGCAGAAATTTATCTTGGGGATGCTCACAAACTTTGGAAGCATGGCATTAGATTGAATTCATAATACTCTCAAGGTAAGGATGATTTTAACAGTCCCCGTGATATTTGGTTTCTGCCAAGTAACATGATATCTGGTAAGAAAGTTACTGTTTTAAATAGATTTCTTAACACATTCATTCCTGCAGATGTTCTGCTTAGCCGATCCTCCTTACGACAAAACTCTCCAACAGCTGCAAAGTTTCTTGACGGGTCTAGTTTCCGAAGAGAAGTTGGAACTAAGAGATGGACTGTATTTTTTGAAAAAGTAGTCAACTAACAGAATTAGGACCCTACTAATTTTAGTAAAAATTATAAAGCTTGGCAAAATGTATTATCCTTGTGTAACTCTTTTTCTTTTCTTTCTGATTCGTTTGAGGGGAAAGGCGAGAGTTGAAGTACAACTCTTTATGCCTCTCTTCGTGTTGTAGATATCATGGAAAAAAAGCCCCTAGGTTTGATCCTGCAGAACTGAAAATGAAGAGAACAAATGTGAAGCCTGTGTCAGAGCATATTGGTGGCTGCTACCCAAATGAGAAGCTTGATGTGAATAGGATTCTAAGCATCTTGTTCAGATTATCATGTGAGAAATTTCATGTGAATAGGGTCTAGTTGAGTGGAAAAAGGCCTTGACTTCATGACTAGTGTTCTCAGGTTCAAACCCAATGACAACTTAGTAGTATGTGTGTGTGAGAGAAATTACCCTCAATTTAACCCTCGATAATTTAGACTATCGTTTAAAAAAAAAAAAAAAAAAAAAAAGTGTCACAAGCCATCCTTTAGTTTTCTTTCAATCATGAAATTTCTCACCTCTAGTATCAGTGATACCCAACCAATCCAAATGATATTATTTAATGAAAGTAAACTTAGGGCCACCACAAAAATGTCTTTAGCGTCAACCGGCCCCACAGTCATTTATGGCAAATATGTTGCTTGTAGTTTCTTCCAACCTCACTTATTTATGGTCTGAACTTTGGCAATCCGTATCTAGTTTGATAAGCTTTAGCACTACCATCCTGCAGACAAACGAAAATGGTAGCCACCGGCACAAACGAGGTTCCAAGCATAGCAAATTACGACAGAAAAAGTGAAGTAAAAACTTTTGATGACACAAAGGAAGGTGTTAAAGGCCTTGTTGATGCTGGGATAACCAAGGTTCCAAGAATTTTTCATCTACCAGTAGATCAGTATCCCATCAACAACACTTGTGATTCAGAACCCACCAAAACCCAGCTCAGAATTCCAGTCATAGACCTGGAAGGCCTTGAATATGATAACAGTCCAACCAAGCGCAAGGAGACTGTTGCCAAAGTTGGAGAGGCATCAGAGACTTGGGGTTTTTTCCAAATTGCCAATCATGGCATACCTGTTGATGTTTTGGAAGAGATAAAGAATGGGGTACATGGTTTTTTTGAGCAAGACACTGAGGTGAAGAAGAAATATTACACTCGTGATCGCTTCAGACCTGTGATCTACAACAGCAACTTTGATCTTTATAGTGCACCGGCAACTAATTGGCGGGTGTAATATGGCTCCTAATCCTCCTAAGCCAGAAGACTTGCCACAAGTATGCAGGTATGTGACAAGGAAGCTTATAATTTTCTGGTTTAATATGACATTAGCCTCCATTTCCATGGAGGGATTTCAAATCTATGATTTTAAATGACATTATATGGTAAAATTGTTTGTATAGACTACTACAATCCATATATGCCAAGATTTGAACAGGAAAGAAAGGAAGAAAATAAGTGAATTTCAAATGATTCCTTCCATATAGTCATTTCAAATGTCTAGTTATTTAGAATACATTCAATCTAATGTGGTTCTTGTTTTTTTAAGCAAATTTAGCTTTGTTAAATCTAAATCCCTTCTTTCAAATCCCTCCTTCCAAAAGGAGCCTTAGTTTTTCTGGGTTTCAATTTTGTAGAGACATACTTGTTGAGTACTCCAAGCAAGTAATGAAGTTGGGGAAGTTGTTGTTCGAGTTGCTGTCTGAGGCGCTTGGGCTGAAGCCAAGTCACTTGAATGACATGGATTGTAGTTTAGGGCTTCGGATTCTAGGCCATTACTATCCCCCCTGTCCACAGCCAGAGTTAACTTTGGGTTCAAGCAAGCACTCTGACAATGACTTTATCACAGTCCTTCTGCAAGATCATATTGGTGGTCTTCAAGTTCTTCATCAGAACAAGTGGATTGATGTACTTCCTGTGCCTGGGGCTCTAGTGGTTAACATTGGAGATCTTCTACAGGCAAGTATAACTATAATTCTTATTCCTCTTTTATACTTTGTAGGAGATACAGTTGGGTTCTTTTTTAATTAAAAAGGTACTATTACATTATGATTGCACACATGTATTAGGTTGTCCAGAATGTGAGGAAAACTTTCATAGTAGCATGGCCTCATTTTAGTTTTCGCATAGGGCTTCTGACTGTCCCGCTGTTGTAGTATAATCATTAGAATATGGCTCAAATTCTTCAATTTCATTTCCTAGTTTGGGTTTTCTGATATTGAATTCTTTTGGACTTTCAGCTTATATCAAATGACAGATTCAGGAGTGTAGAACACAGAGTATTGGCAAATCGTGCCTGTCCAAGAGTATCTGTTGCGAGTTTCTTTAGCACAGGTTTTTTAGCATTGCCACGAATCTATGGACCCATTAAGGAGTTGCTATCAGAAGACAATCTTCCAAAGTACAGGGAGACAACTGAGAAGGACTTTAATTCTCACTTCCATAACAAAGGCCTTGATGGGACCTCTGCCTTGACTCATTTCAAGCTCTGAACTTGGAGGCATAGGAGCAACTGCAATGAACAAATGGTGTCTACTTAATAACTGGGCATGAAAATATTGCTTCATACACAATACTAAGTTGATTTTTTGTTCATGCCTGATGCAGGACATATAGTCAAAGTTATGGTTATAGTACATTGGTTGTTTATAATCTGTTGTGAAATATTATGGCTTTCAATAGAAGTTGCAAAGGTTTTTGGCTCTTTTTACAAACTTCCATATAATCTCTCTATTGTGGTTGGATAAAAATCTTCATGTACTGGTAAAATCATGCTTGCCAACAAAAGCAGAATTCTGAGCATTATTTGTCTATACCTGTTTATAATATACGAATATGAGTGCTTTACTACTATGGAAACTTGAAGTATTGAAGTTATTAGGATCAAACAACATCATATTTCCGTATACGAAAGTTGAATTGTATGATATTATCTGTCTGTACTCTGAATTGTTAACCCAAAATGAATATATTAATGTTTAAAACACAACTCTGCTAATATATTATAAAGTACTTTTGCATTATCCTTGGCCTATGGTCTTTGCAAAAATATTGTTTTCTTCCCATTTTACTCATTGCAAAGTGATCTTCTTTGCTAAAGGATACACTTCTGATCTGATATCCACTAGAACATTAAGATTTAGCAGTAACCAAGATGGTAGGTACCAATTCAAATGAGGTTCCAACCAATTATGACAGAAAAGTGAACTAAAAGCTTTTGATGACACCAAGGAAGGTGTTAAAGGCCTTGTTGATGCTGGGATCACTGTGGTTCCTAGAATTTATCTTCAACCACCAGATCAGTACTCCATCAACAAAAACTTTGATTCAGAAGCCACCCAGTTTAGTGTTCCAGTCATAGACCTTGAAGGCCTTGAGTTCGATAGACCAACGAAACACAAGGAGATTGTTACAAAAGTTGGAGAGGCATCAGAGACTTGGGGATTTTTTCAAATTGTGAATCACGGAATACCTATTGATGTTTTGGAGGAGATAAAGGATGGGGTACGTGGGTTTTATGAGCAAGATACTCAAGTGAAGAAACAGTTGTACAACTCGTGATCACTTCAAACCTGTGGTCTACAATAGCAACTTTGATATACACAGAGCACCAGCGTCTAATTGGAGGGATACTTTTATGTGCTACATGGCTCCTAATCCTACTAAGCCAGAAGACATGCCAGAAGTATTCAGGTATGTGACAAGGAAACTTCTAATTCTCTGCTATCATTAGAAAGTTTATGATGGTATTAATTAATTTGATTCAGATTCCAACCTTCATGATGAGTTAATTAGATGATATGATTTGTCCACCTTAATGATAAGTTTGATGTACATTGATCTCACTTCGGATACAAATCACCCATCTGGGTTTTATATAAATGGGTAGACAGCATCACCAAACAAATGGTATTTTTGTGCTGAGTGGCAAGCACCTAGCTAGCCCATGACAAGTGGTATTAGAGCAGGCCAAGTTCCTTCTGTTATGGCCTGTGACGAAGCTGTATCGTGTCCGGGAGGGGTAGAATGTCCCAAACAAGAATCCCATATTTTAAATAAGAATGAGCTTAATCCAAGGTTTATAAATGAGTAAGTAGGTGACATCTGACAGTAGGCCATTTGCCTTTTCTAAACATAAATCAAAAGCCGTTCAGCTCACCATTTTGGTTAAATGCCTGGCTCTACAATTTTTAATTGAATCATATATATATGACAACTTCATGTACTTTTCTGTGTTTCAACATTTGTAGAGACATACTTATTGAGTACTCCAAGCAAGTAATGAAACTGGGAAAGTTGTTCTAGTTGCTGTCGGAGTCTCTTGGGCTAATGCCAAGTCACTTGAATGACATAGATTATTGTTTAGGGCTTGTGCTTGTAGGCCATTACTATCCCTCATGTCCACAGCCAGAGTTAACTCTTGGGACAAGCAGGCATGCTGACAATGACTTTATCACAGTCCTGCAAGATCATATTGGCGGTCTCCAAGTTCTTTATCAGAACAAGTGGATTGATGTACCTCCTGTTCCTGGGGCTCTAGTAGTTAACATTGGAGATCTTCTACAGGCAAGTACAACTATTCTTCTTCTTCTTCATTTTTTTTTTCCTTTAATTGAAAGGGAGATGTTATTTATACTTCTTAAAAGGGAGTAGGCTGTAGTAGTATATACTATTATTTTACTAGAATATGTCTGAAATTCTTCCATCTGGGTTTCCTCATTTGGGTTTTTTATATTTTTTTTTTTAATTTTTTTTCAACGGTTGAGTTCTTTTGGGGTTGCAGCTTATATGAAATGAAAGATTCAAGAGCGTAGAGCACAGGGTACTGGCGAACCGTGTAGGTCCAAGAGTATCGGTTGCAAGTTTCTTTACCACAGGTATGCAACCATTGGGGAGACTCTATGGACCTATCAAAGAACTATTGTCAGAAGACAACCTTCCAAAGTACAGGGAGACAACTATAAGGGAATATAATGCCCACTTCAATGACAAAGGCCTTGATGGGACCTCTGCCTTGACTCATTTTGAGCTTTGAACTTGGAGATAGAGGAGCAGTACAGCCCTGAACAAATATTTATCAGCCTCTTCTTTAAATTTTCATAAAATCTCTCTGTTGTGGTTAGGCAATAATGTTCATGCAATTGTTAAATCATGTTTGCCAACAAAAGTGGATTGTTTGTAAATGCCTGATGCAGGACATATGTCAAGGGAATTAATATAGATATTTGTCTTGGCCTGCTCATTGCAAAAGTGTATTGGGAATATTTGAACTTCTTTTTTATGTCTTGTGCTCATTGCAAAGTTATATTCTTCGCAAAAATATGCACTTTTGATCTGAATCATATGTATTTAGTCTGATATCCACTATAAATTTAAGCTTTACCAGCAACAAAAATGGTAGCTACCAATCCAAGTGAGATTCCAACCAAGTATGACAGAGAAAGTGAACTAAAAGCTTTTGATGACACCAAGGAAGGTGTTAAAAGGTCTTGTTGATGCTAGGATAACTGAGGTTCCTTGAATTTTTTATCAACCATTGGATGAGTACTCCATCAACAACAACTGTGACTCAGAAGCTACCCAGTTAAGTATTCCAGTCATAGACCTTGAAGGCCTTGAGTTTGACAGTCCAACGAAACGCAAGGAGATTGTTGCAAAAGTTGGAGAGGCATCAGGACTTTGGACTTTTTTCAAATTGCTAATCATGGAGTACCTGTTGATCTTTTGGAGGAGTTAAGGGGTGGGGTACGTGGGTTTTTTGAGCAAGACACTGACGTGAAGAAACAGTTTTACACTCGTGAGTACTTCCAACCTTTGGTGTACAGTAGCAATCCTGATCTATACAGCTCACCGGCCACTAATTGGAGGGACACTTTTATGTGCTACATCATGTCTTCTGGCTTAGTAGGATTAGGAAACTTGAGTTTGATCTAATAGGCTAGTCTTTGGGTTAAGTGGTAAGTGCTCAGCCTCCAGTGCTCAGGCAAGTACACAGTTGGTTTTTTTCATTAACCACAAGGGAGATGTTATCTTATACTTTCTAAAAGTTGACACACACTCTTTTTACATCAATTCATTGAAAAATTGGGTTAACACTGGAGCTCTTTTGGGGTTGCTTTGCAGTTAGTATCAAACGGCAGATTCAAGAGTGTAGAGCACAGGGTAGTGGCAAACCGTGTCGGTCCAAGAATATCGGTGACAAGCTTCTTTACGACAGGTATGCTACCATCGCCGAGACTCTATGGACCTATCAAAGAGTTATGATCAGAAGACAACCCTCCAAAGTACAGGGAGACAACTATAAGGGGCTTTAATGCCCACTTCATTCTGTGATGCGTTAGGATGTCTTTCATCAGTTCTTCATACTTCAAGGTTCCCTTGCCGAACATAAGCATCGTGCGGAAGTGCTTATAAGACGGAGGCAGAGATGTTAATAACATCATGGCCTTGTCTTCCTACTTATAAACTTCATCCATTCTTTGCAAGTCCACAATACACCTATTAAAGGCGCTCACGTGCTCCATCATAGTTTGTAATCATACTTCAGATACATTTTGAAAAGAGCAGCATGCAGAAATGTGAAATTATGCTGAATGATCTTATTGATTCTAAGAGGACTAACGGCAATATTAAAGAAACCATAACTCAGACGTCTCAAGCAGGTACCTTCCAAACTTTACGTCTTCCCTGCAGATGATTGGTTTTTGGGCTATTCTCTCCCCCATTAGTTATGATTTCTTGCATGCATTTTAATTTAATTCATTTCCCGCTTATTCTATTGATTCACTTAACTTCAGCATTTTCCTCGTCCACTGTTTCTTTCACCGAAGTTATTAGTCAATTGGTGATATATTCTCTGCATGAGTAAACTTATGTTTGACTCATTCTAAATTGACTAGCAAGAAAAGTCTTGGTACAGTCAAGGTAAGATGCTTACACTATGTCATTTCATGCCTTTCTATTAGGAGAGTTTTGACTTGCTTCGATTTTCCATATTTCCTGAACCACTGAATTGACATTAACAATACTTATGATGGTTGGTGCTGTTTTAGTTGGAGTTGCAATTTGAAGATAGAGCAGTGCAATTTGTGGTATCTCCAGTGCATGCAGCAATTATAATGCAATTTCAAAATCAGACAAGGTAGCATCAGAAATATCTTAATGCATTTTATGTTGTTTACTATTTTCTTGCCATACTGATATCTTATACTTTCAGCTGACCTCTAACAATCTTGCAGCTGCAATTGGGATTCCAACAGACATACTTAATCGCAGGATAAATTTCTGGATAAGCAAGGTATGCTTGATAGACTAATACTTTCATGTGTCAGATTTACTTGTTGTCTTTGAACACAAACCCTAGCCCCTGGTTTTGAGTCATCTGTCTTGGTGACAGAGTAAAGAGTATTAGAAACTTTGGATTTCTCAGCAGCAGTGGTTACTTTTACTGATTGCAGATTTTTTTTTCTTAGTTACCTTTAATCATTTTGAATTTCGAGTTGAATGATATGATGCGTCATTTATTGTAAAGTCAAACGTTCCCCACGAGCTAAATGTTTTTCAAATGGGTTCTTGTTATTTATTGAAGTTTTAAGCTTTGGAAGTCGAGGAAAACTCATATGTTTGCCTCGTTTTTCCTATTGAAGGGAATTTCTTGCAGAATCATTTGGGGCAGACTCTGAAGACCACGTGTTTACACTAATGGAAGGTATGGTTGACAGTGGTAAAAATGGTGGTACGAATGGAAGCATCGAGGATCTTATAGTTGCTGATGAAGAGGGGGAGAGCTCTGTAGCCTCTGTGGAGGATCAACTGCACAAGGAAATGACTGTGTATGAGGTATGTGATGTGTGCAAGATTGACCACATCTTGGTATACGTTTAAATCCATCCCAATGGGTTGAGTTGTTTGGGAAGGATCTACCAATTCATTTTCATACTGGATCTTCTTTTGCTTTCAGTATATTTCCATCTCTAGGTACTACGGCCTTAAGTTCTAGTTTTCCATCTCTGGATCTTCATTTTCATACTGGATATTCTTTATAAAGACCAAAAGGGGGGAACAAAATTGCTGCTCCACATTTTACCAACTTGTCAATAGCTGAAATAATCAAGTGAAGTAGAAATTTAACTCCCTTCTTTTCCCACTAAGGGGAGGGGAAAGGAAACACATAATTGATAGCTTGCCAATTATAATAACCATGTTAACTTTGTCCAGTCTTGAGTATCAATCTCAAATATGTCAACAGATAAAAATGCATGGTGCCATTGTGTTCTCAGCTTTTCAAATGGTATTTGGTTTTTTGCAGAAATTTATCTTGGGGATGCTCACAAACTTTGGAAGCATGGCATTAGATTGAATTCATAATACTCTCAAGGTAAGGATGATTTTAACAGTCCCCGTGATATTTGGTTTCTGCCAAGTAACATGATATCTGGTAAGAAAGTTACTGTTTTAAATAGATTTCTTAACACATTCATTCCTGCAGATGTTCTGCTTAGCCGATCCTCCTTACGACAAAACTCTCCAACAGCTGCAAAGTTTCTTGACGGGTCTAGTTTCCGAAGAGAAGTTGGAACTAAGAGATGGACTGTATTTTTTGAAAAAGTAGTCAACTAACAGAATTAGGACCCTACTAATTTTAGTAAAAATTATAAAGCTTGGCAAAATGTATTATCCTTGTGTAACTCTTTTTCTTTTCTTTCTGATTCGTTTGAGGGGAAAGGCGAGAGTTGAAGTACAACTCTTTATGCCTCTCTTCGTGTTGTAGATATCATGTAAAAAAAGCCCATAGGTTTGATCCTGCAGAACTGAAAATGAAGAGAACAAATGTGAAGCCTGTGTCAGAGCATATTGGTGGCTGCTACCCAAATGAGAAGCTTGATGTGAATAGGATTCTAAGCATCTTGTTCAGATTATCATGTGAGAAATTTCATGTGAATAGGGTCTAGCTGAGTGGTAAAAGGCCTTGACTTGATGACTAGTGTTCTCAGGTTCAAACCCAATGACAACTTAGTAGTGTGTGTGTGTGTGAGAGAAATTCCCATTTTACCCTCGTAATTTAGACTATCGTTTAAAAAAAAAAAAAAAAAAAAAAAAAAAAAAAAAAAAAGTGTCACAAGCCATCCTTTAGTTTTCTTTCAATCATGAAATTTCTCACCTCTAGTATCAGTGATACCCAACCAATCCAAATGATATTATTTAATGAAAGTAAATTTAGGGCCACCACAAAAATGTCTTTAGCGTCAACCGGCCCCACAGTCATTTATGGCAAATATGTTGCTTGTAGTTTCTTCCAACCTCACTTATTTATGGTCTGAACTTTGGCAATCCGTATCTAGTTTGATAAGCTTTAGCTCTACCATCCGGCAGACAAACGAAAATGGTAGCCACCGGCACAAACGAGGTTCCAAGCATAGCAAATTACGACAGAAAAAGTGAAGTAAAACTTTTGATGACACAAAGGAAGGTGTTAAAGGCCTTGTTGATGCTGGGATAACCAAGGTTCCAAGAATTTTTCATCTACCCGTAGATCAGTATCCCATCAACAACACTTGTGATTCAGAACCCACCAAAACCCAGCTCAGAATTCCAGTCATAGACCTGGAAGGCCTTGAATATGATAACAGTCCAACCAAGCGCAAGGAGACTGTTGCCAAAGTTGGAGAGGCATCAGAGACTTGGGGCTTTTTCCAAATTGCCAATCATGGCATACCTGTTGATGTTTTGGAAGAGATAAAGAATGGGGTACGTGGTTTTTTTGAGCAAGACACTGAGGTGAAGAAGAAGTATTACACTCGTGATCGCTTCAGACCTGTGATCTACAACAGCAACTTTGATCTTTATAGTGCACCGGCAACTAATTGGCGGGACACTATTTTGTGTAATATGGCTCCTAATCCTCCTAAGCCAGAAGACTTGCCACAAGTATGCAGGTATGTGACAAGGAAGCTTATAATTTTCTGGTTTAATATGATTTTAAATGACATTATATGGTAAAATTGTTTGTATAGACTACTACAATCCATATATGCCAAGATTTGAACAGGAAAGAAAGGAAGAAAATAAGTGAATTTCAAATGATTCCTTCCATATAGTCATTTCAAATGTCTAGTTATTTAGAATACATTCAATCTAATGTGGTTCTTGTTTTTTTAAGCAAATTTAGCTTTGTTAAATCTAAATCCCTTCTTTCAAATCCCTCCTTCCAAAAGGAGCCTTAGTTTTTCTGGGTTTCAATTTTGTAGAGACATACTTGTTGAGTACTCCAAGCAAGTAATGAAGTTGGGGAAGTTGTTGTTCGAGTTGCTGTCTGAGGCGCTTGGGCTGAAGCCAAGTCACTTGAATGACATGGATTGTAGTTTAGGGCTTCAGATTCTAGGCCATTACTATCCCCCCTGTCCACAGCCAGAGTTAACTTTGGGCACAAGCAAGCACGCTGACAATGACTTTATCACAGTCCTTCTGCAAGATCATATTGGTGTTCTTCAAGTTCTTCATCAGAACAACTGGATTGATGTACTTCCTGTGCCTGGGGCTCTAGTGGTTAACATTGGAGATTTTCTACAGGCAAGTATAACTATAATTCTTATTCCTCTTTTATACTTTGTAGGAGATACAGTTGGGTTCTTTTTTAATTAAAAAGGTACTATTACATTATGATTGCACACATGTGTTAGGTTGTCCAGAATGTGAGGAAAACTTTCATACACCAGGATATATCCCGGGATAGGGAACTTTTTTATATATTTTATAATGTCTTGTTGTTTAAAATTTGAGAAAAGTTTTGGCAGTGTAGTAGCATGGCCTCATTTTAGTTTTCGCATAGGTTTTCTGACCGTCCCCCTGTCATTAGAATATGGCTCAAATTCTTCAATTTCGTTTCCTAGTTTGGGTTTTCTGATATTGAATTCTTTTGGACTTTCAGCTTATATCAAATGACAGATTCAGGAGTGTAGAACACAGGGTATTGGCAAATCGTGCCGGTCCAAGAGTATCTGTTGCTTGTTTCTTTAGCACAGGTTTTTTAGCATTGCCACGAATCTATGGACCCATTAAGGAGTTGCTATCAGAAGACAATCTTCCAAAGTACAGGGAGACAACTGTGAAGGACTATAATGCTCACCACTATAATAAAGGCCTTGATGGGACCTCTGCCTTGACTCATTTCAAGCTCTGAACTTGGAGGCATAGGAGCAACTGCAATGAACAAATGGTGTCTACTAAATAACTTGGCATGAAAATATTGCTTCATACACAATACTAAGTTGATTGTTTGTTCATGCCTGATGCAGGCCATATAGTCAAATTTATGGTTATAGTACACTACATGGTTGTTTATAATCTGTTGTGAAATATTATGGCTTTCCAATAAAATTTGCAAAGGTTTTCAGCTCTTTTTACAAACTTCCATATAATCTCTGTATTGTGGTTGGATAAAAACCTTCATGCACTGGTAAAATCATGCTTGCCAACAAAAGCATAATTTTTTTTCTTTACACAAGCAGAATTCTGAGCATTATTTGTCTATACCTGTTATATTATAGATATTTAGTCATATACCAATTCTTAACATTAAAACTATAAATAAACCTTACACCATTTAATTTATATAAATAAACCCAAAAAAAACCCAAAAAATGAAAGTTGGCCCTATTGAATTTAATTTTGATTATTAAATTACTTTGATGCCCTATTCAGTGTTTTGAACTTTTTTATGAGGTTTTGGAGTTGGGTTTGTTTTAAGAAATCAGGCACCTATATCCCTGGATTTAACAGTTTTTTTTGACATAGGTACTATTTAAGAGCACTTAGATTAACGTTAGGGACCATGGGTGATACAAAAAAACTTTAAGGATGCAATCTGATAGTTTCACAAACGTCAGTGACGTTTTGTGATAAAAAGCCGAAGTTAAAAGACTTTTTGTTATGTTGTAAATGAGCTTTGAATGTGTTTCTAAAGTCCATTTCATATAGTTTTTATTTATTTATTTATTTATAATTTGGGCTCTTATATTAGGTATAACAGTGAATCTCCCTTTATAATATACGAATACAAGTGGTTTACTACTATGGAAACTTTGGGGCTCGTTTGTTACACCTTCTTGGCTTGGATTGGACTAGACCAATTTTTATCGCATGTTTGTTTACACTTGGTTCTAGTTTTAAGTGGGATTGTTAATACTGGCCCCACCAAAAACACCTTCTTAGGTGTTCTTAATGAGACCCCCGTTGAATGGGAGGACAATATAGTCCCGACCCAAGCACCTGCAACCACTGACCATCCAAGCGCCATCCACAACCACTGATCACCCAAGCACCTGCAATTGATCCAAATCCCCCACCATCACAGCAACCTCAATCCACCATCACAGCAACCTCATAAAATAAAAAAAATTGTTCCTCCCTCATCCGAAACAAACCCAAATACCCCTCCCCTCCGTATCTTTCGAGCAGTATGAGAAAGCTGGGTCTAGAGCGGCTTTGCCTTTCTCTCATCTTCTCTATTTGACAGCCACTGACCCCGCCCACTTCATCCCTTCCCTCTCTCCAACAGCCACTAATCCAAACCCATTAATTGAATCAATCCTTAGCCAGACAACTTTCCTTCTCTTTCAATTAACCAAACCCCCCCAAAAAAAAAGGAAAAAAAAAGTTATTGTATTTCTTTTACTCATCAAACTCAATTTCTCCTTTTTAATTATCGAAACCCAATCATACAAAAATGATTAAATTGAAGAAACCCAGCAGATGACCTCCACATGATTCTCTCCTCCGAGCAACGCAGAGATCTCATGGCGCCAATCAAACCAAAGATTTTGACTTGTCATCGTTGACTCGCTTTGAGATTTGTTGCGGAGGGTGGGTAGGGTGGGGTTGTTGGAGGTCCAAGAAGGGGAAGGGGGCTGAGGGAGATCTCGACAGAGACAAGAGAAGTTAAAAAAAATATTTTTAAAAATTTACTTTTCAAGAAAAATATTTTAAAATAATTTAGTCCTAGTCCAATCAAATATACACATTGTAGTACAAGTGCTATTCAGTTTAGACCATGCCAAGCCAATATATGACAATCTCAAAATTTAGTCCAGTCCAATCTCCCGTACCAAATGAGCCCGAAGTATTGAAGTTATTAGGATCAAACATAGACCTGTTATTAAAATTTTGTAATAAACATTATATTTCCGTTTACCAAAGTTGAATTTTATAATATTATCTGTCTGTACTCTGAATTGTTAATCCAAAATGAATATATTAATGTGAAAAACACAACTCTGCCAATATTTTTTTTTCGGTCAACTCTGCTAATATATTATAAAGTACTTTTGCATTCTCCTTAGCCTATGGTCTTTGCAAAAATATTGTTTTCTTCCCACTTCACTCATTGCAAAGTGATCTTCTTTGCTAAAAGATACACTTCTGATCTGATATCTACTAAACATTAAGATTAGCAGTAACCAAGATGGTAGGTACCAATTCAAATGAGGTTCCAACCAATTATGACAGAAAAAGTGAACTAAAAGCTTTTGATGACACCAAGGAAGGTGTTAAAGGCCTTGTTGATGCTGGGATAACTGTGGTTCCTAGAATTTTTCATCAGCCACCAGATCAGTACTCCATCAACAACAACTTTGATTCAGAAGCCACCCAGTTTAGCGTTCCAGTCATAGACCTTGAAGGCCTTGAGTTCGATAGACCAACGAAACGCAAGGAGATTGTTACAAAAGTTGGAGAGGCATCAGAGACTTGGGGATTTTTTCAAATTGCGAATCACGGAATACCTATTGATGTTTTGGAGGAGATAAAGGATGGGGTACGTGGGTTTTATGAGCAAGACACTCAAGTGAAGAAACAGTTTTACACTCGTGATCACTTCAAACCTGTGGTCTACAATAGCAACTTTGATCTACACAGAGCACCAGCGTCTAATTGGAGGGATACTTTTATGTGCTACATGGCTCCTAATCCTACTAAGCCAGAAGACATGCCAGAAGTATTCAGGTATGTGACAAGGAAACTTTTAATTCTCTGCTATCATTAGAAAGTTTATGATGGTATTAATTAATTTGATTCAGATTCCAACCTTCTTGATGAGTTAATTAGATGATATGATTTGTCCACCTTAATGATAAGTTTGATGTACATTGATCTCACTTCGGATACGAATCACCCATCTGGGTTTTATATATATGGGTAGACAGCATCACCAAACAAATGGTATTTTTGTGCTGAGTGGCAAGCACCTAGCTAGCCCATGACAAGTGGTATTAGAGCAGGCCAAGTTCCTTCTGTTATGGCCTGTGACGAAGCTGTATCGTGTCCAGGAGGGGTAGAATGTCCCAAACAAGAATCCCATATTTTAAATAAGAATGAGCTTAATCCAAGGTTTATACATGAGTAAGTAGGTGACATCTGACAGTAGGCCATTTGCCTTTTCTAAACATAAATCAAAAGCCGTTCAGCTCACCATTTTGGTTAAATGCCTGGCTCTACAATTTTTAATTGAATCATATATATATGACAACTTCATGTGCTTTTCTGTGTTTCAACATTTGTAGAGACATACTTATTGAGTACTCCAAGCAAGTAATGAAACTGGGGAAGTTGTTGTTCGAGTTGCTGTCGGAGGCTCTTGGGCTAAAGCCAAGTCACTTGAATGACATAGATTGTAGTTTAGGGCTTGTGCTTGTAGGCCATTACTATCCCTCATGTCCACAACCAGAGTTAACTCTGGGGACAAGCAAGCACGCTGACAGTGACTTTATCACAGTCCTTCTGCAAGATCATATTGGCGGTCTCCAAGTTCTTCATCAGAACAAGTGGATTGATGTACCTCCTGTTCCTGGGGCTCTAGTAGTTAACATTGGAGATCTTCTACAGGCAAGTACAGCTACTCTTCTTCTTCTTCAATTTTTTTTTTCTTTAATTGAAAGGGAGATGTTATTTATACTTCTTAAAAGGGAGTAGGCTATAGTAGTATATACTATTATTGTACTAGAATATGTCTCAAATTCTTCCATCTGGTTTCCTCATTTGGGTTTTTTTATACTTATTTTTATTTTTTTTTCAATGGTTGAGTTCTTTTGGGGTTGCAGCTTATATCAAATGAAAGATTCAAGAGTGTACAGCACAGGGTACTGGCGAACCATGTAGGTCCAAGAGTATCGGTTGCAAGTTTCTTTACCACAGGTATGCAACCATTGGGGAGACTCTATGGACCTATCAAAGAACTATTGTCAAAAGACAACCCTCCAAAGTACAGGGAGACAACTATAAGGGAATATAATGCCCACTTCAATGACAAAGGCCTTGATGGGACCTCTGCCTTGACTCATTTTGAGCTTTGAACTTGGAGATAGAGGAGCAGTACAGCCCTGAACAAATATTTATCAGCCTCTTCTTTAAATTTTCATAAAATCTCTCTGTTGTGGTTAGGCAATAATGTTCACGCAGTTGTTAAATCATGTTTGCCAACAAAAGTGGGTTGTTTGTACATGCCTGATGCAGGACATATGTCAAAGTAATTAACATAGATATATGTCTTGGCCTGCTCATTGCAAAAGTGTATTGGGAATATTTGGAGTTCTTTTTTATGTCTTGTGCTCATTGCAAAGTTATAATCTTTGCAAAAATATACACTTCTGATCTGAGTCATATGTATTTAGTCTGATATCCACTTTAAATTTAAGCTTTACCAGCAACAAAAATGGTAGCTACCAATCCAAATGAGATTCCAGACAACTATGATAGATGTTGATGCTAAAAAATGGTTCAGCACTTTTGGGCCCAACTTATTGATGTTTTGACCTTCGTCACCTTCTCGGCTTCGGTACAACGCTCAATTTGCAAGATAAAAAACGCTTGATAAGCCCTTGGGCACCGGTGTGATACCGGCCAAAGGCTCTCCGATGCTTAAGTAAGAATAAGTACGGAGTGTGTAGTAATTTGGACAGAGTAATAGCTGAATTGCCAAAAGTCTCTGTTACCTCCTTTTTGGCACTTGTGCCCTAATTTATAAGTCTTGGGAGGTGTGGATTTTGAGTGAAACTTCGATGTAGGACTGTTGATATTGCCTGTGGTGGCTCCACGTGTCCCAGCAAGAAAGGATGGGTAAGAGGTCTTGTGTTGCGTTCGGCAGTAAAGGGTGCCGAACACTCCCCTACCGATTGTGTCTTATTTTCC